TGGTTTGTGGAGCTAGCTTTTGGTGGAGTGATCTGGAAGTCCCCTGCCTCAGTAATGGGTGCTAACTAGGCTCAATGCTGCCCTCAAGGAGCCCTGGCAGTGCAATGGTTAAATGCTAGGCTGTTACCCCACGGTTTGGTGGCTCAGAACCACCCAGCAGCTCTGTGGGAGAAAGAACTTGCTGTCTTGTCCTTAAAAATTACAGCCAAGAAAACTCTATCGTAAGTTCCTTGCTGTCACATGGAATCACCCCTACAACAGAATCCTGCTTTCATCCTACGTGTTGTCATCGTTAGGTGCAGTCTAGTAGTGTACTTGATTTCACCCTCCCCAGGACACACCTGTTTGTCCTCTTGGCAGTCTATGGTATGTTTGTACTCTTCTCCAGAACCACAATTCAAAGGCATCAATTCTTCTTCTGTTGTCCTTAATCATGTCTAGTTCTCTGATTCACAACAACACCATGGCCTGGATCAGGTGCACCTTAGTCTCTAGCCTGACAATGCTGCTCTTCAGCATTCTGGAGAGGTCCTCAACAGCAGCTTCTTCCAATGCAATTAGTCTTTTGATTTCCTGACTGCTGGTGTCAATAGTCTTGATTGTGGAACTGAACAAGCTGAAATTGTTAATAGTCTCCATCCACTATGGTGCTGCCAATTGGCCCAGTGATGAGAAACTTTGTCTTCTTGAAGGTGAGCTTCAATCTATAGTGAAGACTACAGTCCTTGATCTTCTGCAGCAAAGCTTCAGGTCCTCTTCAGTTGTTTTGAAAATCCATGCTACTATGTCAGTTTCTACTTATGACGACCTCACAGTCCAGAGGAGTTCTGTCTGCTTAGGTCTCCAGGGCTGTAAATGTTTATGGGAGCAGGCTGCCTCATCTACCTCCCACAAAGCAATTGATACACTTGAATAGTAGGCATTTCTGTAGTGGTCCTATGCATTGGGAAATAAACTGTCAATTCTGAATTCCATTTCCAGTGATAAAAGACTACAGGCAAGTAAATTATGCTTCCAGACAAGATAGAGTGAACAGCAACTCACCCTTCCACTTGAAATTCTCGAGAGTGTATGTGAATAGACAAAATGAATGAATCAAGGTTTATGAGTCTGAATCCACCATCTCCTCCTGTACGATTAACTGCCTCTGAAAACACATTGGAGGGTTCCAACTTGATGGTACACAACAACAACAAGGCACAGAACAACATGGAACATTGGTGCCTAAGAGACAGTAACCCAATCATCTCACTTGCCTGGTTTTTACACCGGAGCCAGGACCCCAAAGGTCCAGGCAGAGTGACAGCTCTAAGGTAAGGGGGTTAGCAAAGTACGTCATGTGAAGAACAGAACAGAACAGAACATCTATTTGGTTGACCACATTTTGCTTTGGTCAAAACCTACTCTAACTAAAACAGGAAACTGGAGAAGCATGAGCTAAATGTTACTTGTTTTACATGAGAGGGTTATGGGAAGTTTTAAGATTTTGGGTTTTGCTTATATTCAGAATTTTTTCTTCTTCTTTCTTTTACTTTGTGGTACAAACCCAAACCAGCCCGCTGCTGTGGAGCCTGCTCTGCAATCTCCATGGGATTCTCTAGGATCTCAGTGTTTCCCATAGTGTTTCCAAGATTATAATCTTCATGGAATTAAGATTGCCATGTCTTTCTATCAGGGAGCAGCGGGTTCGTCCAAACCATCAGCCATCCAGTTAGTAAATGAGGGATTTTAACTACTGAGCCATCAAGCTCCTTATATTGTGAAAAGAAACTTGGGTATGAGATAGAAAGAGAAGGAAAGGGAGAAGGAGAACAAAGACCGGGGCAGGGGAGCCCTGGTGGCCTAGTGGCAAGAAGCTGTGCCATAATCCTGAAGGTACATGGTTCCAATCCACCAGATGCTCCGCTGGAGAAGGAGGGGCAATCTCCTCCTGTGCCAATCAGATCTGATTGTATGGTATACAAGAAGAAAAAAGGAAAAAAAGGGGAGGAAAGTAGGGCAGGGAAGAAGAGAAGAGAGGGAGGGAGAAAGGGAAGAAAAGAGGGGAAAGAGAAAAGATGAGGAAGGAAGGAAGGAAGGAAGCAAGGAAGAAGGAAGGAAGAAAAACTTCCAAGATAAAACAAGATTCTGACCAGGAGACAATTGTAGCACCAGCAACATTTACCTTCTTTAACAGCTGGATTGCCTTTCTCAGCTCTCCTCTGGCAAAGCACAGCTTTCCCAAGTTATAAAAGGTTTGAGCCAATCCTTCACTGCAACCACCTTGATCAATGATCTGGGACTTCAACGTAGCCTTTAGAAGTTTGCAAGCCTCCTAAGGAATATTTAAAATGGAGGGAAAGTCAGTCTAGCATTTCAAAAAGAACTCAGTCAAGAAATCAAGAGACAAATTGCTCTGGGGAAGGCTGCTGTCAGGGTCTTCTCAAAAGTGCTGAAGAACAACGATGTCAGCCTGGAGACTAAGTTACACCTGATTCAGGCCATGGTCTTCACAATTATGTGCTATGCATCAGAGTTGGACAATGACCAAAGATGGCAGAAGGATTATTGATGTCTTTGAGTTGTGGTGATGGGAAAGAGTATTGCACACACCATGGACCACCAAGAGAACAAACAGATTTATTCTGGAGAGGAAGAAAACTGTCTGCTCCTTGGAGGAAAGGATTTTGAAACTCCATCTGACATACTTTGGGCATGTTGTAAGGAGGGACCAGTCCTTGGAGAGGGATGTCATGCTTGGGAAGGTGGAGGGGCAGAGCAGGAGAGGAAGATTCCAGATGAGATGGATTGACACTGTAACTGGGACAAGGGAGTAGGTGTGTCAAAGTCAGTGAGACTGATCAGGATAGAGCAGAGTTAATAGCTATTGCACACATGGTTGCGGTGAGTCACAGGTGACTCATAATAACAACAACATCCTATGGGTTGCCAAAAGAGCAAACAAATATGTCTTAGAAAAGTTTCACCTGAGGTGACCTTTAGAGCCAAACATGATGAAGCTGTGTCTCACATAGTTTGGACAAGTTGTTAGGAGGGGCTACTCCTTAGAGAAGAACATCATGCTTGGAAAGGTGGAGAGTCAGCAAAGGAGAGGAAGACCCTCAACAAGACAGAGTGACACAGAGACTGTAACAATGGGCTTGAGGTTATATATCAGAGATGATGAGGAGAGCACAGGCTAGGATAAGGTTCAGATTTGTTCACAGGGTCTTTCTGAGTCATAGCAGACTCAATTGCAACTGAACCACAAAAACAATTCCATGAGTTCTGGTTTTCTCATGGAATTTGAGTTCTGGTAGTGCAATAAAGAGTGTGCAACCAGAGTGCTCTTTGGAGGCAAGAATGATGCTACTCACATACTTTGTGCATGTTGCTAGGAGGGGCTGTTCCTTGGAGGACATGATGCTGGGAAGGGTGGAGGGTCCGTCAAGGAGAGCAAGACCCTCAACCAGGTGGATTGACATGGGGACTGCCACAGTGGGCTCTTGTGTGTCAGGAAGTGTGAGGATGGTGCAGCATAGAACAGGACTTACATCTTTTTTTTTTAAACACTTTCCAACGCTCTTTTATTTTCTTTGCCCTCCTTGCACACACATCAGTTCAGGGGTCTCCACACACCACACCCACTGATTGCAGCTATAAAGTCACTTGATGTTGGTCAAGTACCATTTCTTTTATCGTTTTATCCCTAAAAATTGTGTTGGCATCAAAGGACAGTTAACCAGTGTTAAATCCATACAATATTTACACAGCACAGCACATTAAGCTTTAGACACTTGGCAGTTAAACCACACAAAAAGAGGAAAAGACCCCCATCATACTGATCTTGATCAGGTATTTCCCTGTCCCTAATATGGCGTCTGTACACTGGTTCAAAGGGCAGCAGAGGCAACAGGCAGTTATTTCAGAGGACATCGGACAGTATGATCTGGAAGCACATGAAGGTGTCACCCCAGTGTCACGTACCACCCACCTTTCTCCAAGGTGGTCTCATAATTCTAGAATGGCAGGTCCAGCTGATGCAAAGTGGGGACAAACAACACAACATTTACTCTGTACAGACATCCTACTCAGACTATGCATTCACTGTGATTTTGAATGTAACCCGTCCTAAAAATTTGTCACGATCATCCTCGTTTTTCAGGTTGGATGCTCCCTCTATCTTGCAGTCAAATGTGGCTTCTTTCTTGGTAATGTTAAGAGGATCAAAGAATGCCTGGACGGCAACAATTGGCTGCAGATACCCTACATGTAATTTTTTCCCATAATATGGAAAATATTTTAAGTCTATATTTCCCGTGGAAGGGTATGTTGATACATGTACCATCTGCTCATTCTTTGACGTACATACTATCTTTGGTTCTCCTTTAGGCTTTAATCCAATTATTCGGTTCATTTTCCCAAGAACACAAGGGTTTCCTTTGGAATAGCCATAGTTAGGATCCATCAAGCCACTGCAGTCTTTACGTAAATCCAGAGGAAACCGACATGCAGAATAAACAGGGCCCTTTTGTTCAAAAGGTATTCCTTCAGGACACGCTGTGAGGTTCTTCTGTTCTTCTGGACTATATGACTTTAGCAAACGGTCAAGGTCTTTAATGTATCCTTCATAGGACTGTGCGTCAGACACACTGAATGAATATTCCAAGGTGCTCACTGGTTTTGGAAAAACCGTAAGTCCTGGACTGGGAATCTGGTCGCGCGGTATTTGGGAACTTCATCATTCAGTGTCTGGAGCATGATCCACATTGTGGATGCGAAGAGAGCAGCCAAGAAGCCATAGAAGACTAGGTAGAAGAGCAAGATCAAACCCCAACTCTTGGCGGTGCGCCCTAGGAACTGTCCGGTGTTGGGGTTATAGATGAAGAGCTTCCACTCGGCCAGGCTCTGGTTGAAGGACTTCTTGTCTTCCTTCGTCATGGTGTGTGTGCTGTGTCCCGGGAAGGTGCGCAGCGGCCGCGGGCGACGAGGCGGCGAGAAACACAGAGGCGCGTCCCGGCTCAGGCGACGCGCAGCCCGGCAGCGGACGGCTGAACGGCCGGAGAAACCACCGAGCTGCGGGGCACGCTACAGCGGACTAGGACTTACATCTTTTATTCATAGGGTCGCTATGAATTGTGTTCGACTTGATGGTACCTAACAACCAGAAGTGCAATGGTTTGAGCATTGTAAGTGTTGTATGTTTGAACCCACCACTAGCCACACTGAAGGACAAAGAGGCGTCAGTTGGCTTTGCAACAAGTGGTTGTTGTTGTTATTGTTGGGTGCCATCAAGTCGACTTTGGCTCCCGGTTACCCTGTGAAAAACAACCCTGGACCTTGTCATAACCTGAACCATCACCACAATCTTTGATATGCTCCAGCCCATCCGTATAGACACTGTGGCAATTGTTGAAGGTTTTCCTCTCGTTTGCTGACCTTACCCGGTATAATTTCTTTTGCCAAGGCTGGCCCTTCCTGACAGCATGCCCACAGTATGTCAGATGATGTCCCACCACCTTTGCTTCTAAGGACGCTGAGTGTACTTCAGCTAAGACATATTTGTTTGTTCTTGACAGTTCACGGTATATTCAATATTCTTCATCAATGACACAATTAAAAGGTATTGATTCTTTTTCAGTTTTTCTTATTCATTGTCCAACTTTGAGAAACATTAGAAGCAACTGAAAATACCATGACTTGGACAAGGCACTTGGCCTTTAAACGGATGTCCTTGATCTTTAGTACTTTGGAGAGGTCCTTACCAGATGCAACATATCTTTGAGTTTCTTTACTGTTGTACCATGGGTATTGATTGTAGATCCAAGTAAAATGAAATCTTTGACAACTTAAATACATTCTCCATCTGTTGTTGTTTGTTATGTGCCATTGAGCCACTTGTGACTCATAGCAACACAATGTACAACAGCTCTGAACCATGCTCTACCCTGAGTCAAACTATTGTCTCTGACACACCTACCTCCATTACCCTAGTCATTGAATCAATCCATCTCATTCAAGGTCTTCTTCTCATGCACTGTCCTTCCACCCTCCCAATGATGACGTCCCTCTCTAAGGACTGGTCCCTCCTTGTGACATGCCCAAAGTATATCAGATGGAGCGGCAGAATCCTTGCCTCCAAGGAGCAGCCTGGTTTCACCCTCTCCAGGTCAAACCTGTCTGTTCTCCTAGGAGTCCATGATATATTCCCTACTCCTCTCCAGCACCACAGCTCCAATGCATCAATCTCCTTCTACCATCTTTAGTCACTGTCCAACTTTTTGATGTATAGCAAGTTAATTGTGAAGACTATGCCTGTATCAGACTTACCTTAGTCTCCAAATTGGTCTTGTTGCCTTTCAGCACTCTGGAGAGGTCTCTGGCAGCAGACTTCCCCAGTGATATTAATCTTTTGATTTCCTGGCTGCTGGTACCAAGAGTGTTGATTGTGGAGCCAAGCAAACGGAAACTGTTGACAATCTCAGTCTCTTCAGCATCCATCATGATGCTGCCAGTCGGCCCAGTGGTGAGAATATTTGTTTTCTTGATGCTGATTCTCCATCTATCAAGATGCTATTCTATTCATCCAGTTGTTATGTACCATTGAGTCAGATCTGACCCATAGCTGATCCTCCAGTGAGTTTTCAGAGGCAGTAATTTCACAGGAAGAGATTACTCATTCTTCTCCTGAAGAGCAGCTGGTGGATTTGACCTGTGTGCTTTTGGGATTGCAGAGTAGTTTCTAACCAGCTCCCTTCCAATAGTAAGGATTTTTGTTTTCTTGATGTTTCTTCATAATTGAAGGCTTTAGTCTTTGATCTTCTGCAGTAAGTGCGTTAAGCCTTCAATTTCTGCAAGCAAAGTTCTATTATCTGCATAAGGCAGGTTGTTAATGAATCTTTCTCAAATCCTCATGTACCATTCTTCATATAACCCAATTTTTCAAATTACATGTTCAGCATACAAATTGACTAGACATTGAGAAAGCATACATGCCTTTGTGAAAGGATATAAGCATCACATACAAATTTATGAGAAATTTTAAACCATGCAGTGTTCTCTTTTCCATTCAGACAACTATTTCTTAGTGTATGTATAGGTTTCACATGAGCACAATTAAGTCTTCCAGGATTCCCATTCTTCTTAATGTTAGCTACATGTTATCCATATAGTCAAAGGCTTCTGCATAATCAATAAAACACATATGCGTATAGTTATATTATTATATATCCTTTTTTAAAATTTGTGTTAGGTTAAGCTTTTGCATAAAATAAAACAAAAAAAACAGTCAATGGATACATACTTAGCAAGACTTCTGATTTTCTGTTAGTTTTCTAGAACCCTTGAGATTCACATCAGGCTCAAACATTAAAAATCCATATGAAATGTGTTGAAAATTCAGCAAATCGTATTGACTGTCTACTCTGGACTATCACAGCTTCAGGCAGCACCAGGGGACACTGAAGTGAGGAAAACAGACAAAAATGTCTGCTCTCGGCGGATGCTTCTAGCACTTAAGGTGACTGGCCTGTCCATACACATGTGCATAGTTTCACATTGAAATGCTGAATCCCCACACCCTTTGAGTACATCTTCCGCCTGTTTGTAATGAGACTGGGAATAGTAACAAAAAAAGACTCTGGGAATAGATTGGATACCCTGCACCTGACAGAGCTCAGAGACAAGGAATGCTATCCTTGGGGTACATGTTCAAGTCTGCCACCGAGGATAAAGAACTATGACACAACAGCGACCCCAGGTGACAGAGTAGAACTGCTGGTTTTGTTGTTGAGAATGTATCCAACAAAAACACATCAGCTCAACAATAACTACCTCTATTGACACTGGTTACATTATTTATGTTGTACAACTTTGTAACTTTTTTCTTTCAGAGGTTGTTGCTATTTGGTGGCATTGAGTCCCCTGCTACTCATAGCGACCCTATGTACAACAGCCCTAAACCCTGCTCTATCCTGTGCCAATCTCACTGTCTCTGGCACACCCACCCCCATTACCCCAGTCACTGAATCAATCCACCTCATTGAGCATCTTTCTCTCTTGAGATGTCCCTCCACCCTCCCAAGCATGACGTCCCTCTCCCAGGACTGGTCCCTCCTTGAAACATGTCCCAGGCATGTCAGATGAAGCTTCAGAGTCCTTGTCTCTAAGGAGCAGCCTGGTTTAACTTTCTCCAGGACAAACCTGTTCATTTTCTTAGAAGTCCATGGTATATTCAATAGTCCTCTCCAGCGCCACAGTTCAAAGGCATAATTTTTCCTTCTATCATCCCTAGTCATTGTCCAGCTATCTGTTTCAGAGGAGACAACAAAATTTTGGCTAATGAAAAACTGAAGTCTCAAAACAGAGAAAGAGCACTGCAGGAGGAAAAAGTTCCAGCTAGAGCCAAAGGTAGAAGCTAACTTTGACTTAAATTATTAAACTTAAAGGACCAGAATCTATTTATGTGTATCATCTAGTTGAGGAATTTACCTCATATGTTAAGATTTAAAAATAAAAAGAGCAACAACATATATTGGTTTTGTTGTATATCAGAGTTTATTTTTGTGCATCTGAACAGATTATCCAAGGGGGGGTGGTGTGTGCTGGGCTCTATGAGGAGAAGTGTGGCATCAGGATTGGAGGTAGCTTCATCAACAGTCTGCGTTATGCAGATGATACAACCCTGCTTGCTGAAACTGAGGAGGACCTGAAGCGCTTGCTGCAGAAGGTCAGGGACTGCAGCCTTCTGTATGGATTGAGGCTCAACATCAAGAAAATAAAGATTCTCACTACTGGGCTGATTGGCAGCGTCATGATAGACAATGAAGAGACTCATATTGTTGACAGCTTCAGTTTGTTTGGCTCTACAATCAACACTCTTGGTACCAGTAGCCAGGAAATTAAAAGACTAATTGCATTGGAAAAGTCTGCTGTCAGAGACCTCTCCAAAGTACTGAAGAGCAATGATGTCAGTGTGGAGACTCAGGTGCACCTGATACAAGCCATGGTCTTTGCAATTACTTGCTATACATCAGAGAGCTGGACAATGACTAGGGAGGATAGAAAAAGAGTTGATGCCTTTGAGCTGTGGTGCTAGAGAAGAGTATTGAATATACCATGAACTGCTAGGAGAACAAACAAATTCATCCTGGAGAAGGTGAAGTCAGGCTGCTCCTTGGAGACAAGGATTCTGAAGCTTCGTCTGACATACTTTGGACATGTTGCAAGGTGGGATCAGTCCTTGGAGAGGGACATCATGCTTGGGAGGGTGGAGGGACAGACAGCACAGGAGAGGAAGATCCTTGATGAGATGGATTGATTCTGTCACTGAGGTAATAGGGTTAGGTGTGTCGGAGATAGTAAGATTGGCACAGGATATAGCAGGGTTTAGAGTTGTAGAACATAGGTTCACTATGAGACACAGGTGACTTGATGGCACATAACAAAAACAACAACATATACACATATAGAAATATTTAATAATATCCAAAGTTGCCCTATGTCCTGATCTTGCCTTTCCCGGGGACCCAAGCTACGGTCTCCTGAACTGTGAGATGGAAGTCTGTCCTGACCTCATGGTGAACCAGCAATTCCATGCACCCGTTAGCTGCCACCTTTACCTGTTTTTCTCCATTTAGGATCAGCCACTTGCAGAATTCCTCAATGGTTGTTAGTGTCTCTGAGTCCTCTGTACCCAGTGTGGCTTGGTAGGCGGTGATACTTTTTACAAAATACAGCTCCACCACATCTACAAAGAAGGGAATCATTAAGTCAAGCTACGAGCCTTTGCCAGGTGTCTAGCTACTTTGGTTCAATTCATTAGACATTTTCATGCTCGAAGTCAGTGCCTGCTTTCATTCCAGGCCTCACCTGTAGGTTTGGACTTCACAGTGACATCACACAACAGAGCACTACCTCATTCAGTTCTCTCTGTTGTAATCATCAAGTCAGAACCGACTCAGAGCTGACACTCTAGTGGGTTTTCAGAGGCAGTAAATTGCACAGGGAGAATGCTCATCTTTCTCCCATGAAGTGGATGCTGGAGTAGAACCACACACACTTTTCTTTATATTGTGTTATACAGATAACACAACCTTGCTTGTTGAAACTAAGGAGGACTTGGAGCGTTTGCTGCAGAAGGTCAAGGGCTGCAGCCTTTGATATAGATTACATCTCAGTATGAAGAAAACGTAGATCCTCACCACCAGGCCAATTGGCAGTATTATGATAGATGGAGAAAAGATAAAGATTGATAATGATTTCATCTTCCTTAGATCCACAATCAACACTCTTGGCACCAGCAGTCAGGAAATCAAAGACCAGTTACATTGAGATATCTATTTTCAGGGGCCCCCTCAGAATGGAAAAAGCAATGATGTCAGTTTAGAAACTAAGGTGGACTCGATTCAGGTCATCATCTATCTTCTCAATTGCTTGGTATGCATCTGAGACCTGGACAATGACTATGGAAGACAGACAAAGAATTGATGTCTTTGAGTTGTAGTGCTGGAAAAGAGTATTGGATATACTATGAACTGTCAAAAGAACATACAAGTCTGTCCTGGAGAGGATGAAATCAGGTTGGTCCTTGGGGGCAAGGATTTTGAAGCTCCATCTGACATACTTTGGGCATGTTGCCAGGAAGGACCAGTCCTTGGAGAACATCCTGCTTGGAAGGGTGGAGGATTAGTACAGGAGAGGAAGACCCTGGATGAGATGAATTGACACAATGAATGTAGTAATTCATGGTTCAAAGGGGTCCATTTTACCAGAGATGGTGAGGTTGGCTCAGGATAGAGTTGTCCCATAGGGTGCTATGAGTTGTAGTTGACTCAATGGTACATAACAACAAAAACAATGTGTTGGCAGAGCAATTCCTTATCACAAAGGCTCCCTTGTTGCTGTTATGTGCTGACAAGTTGACATCAGCTGTTGGGACCCACCCGCTGCTCCTGGACAGAAAGGTGTGCTAGTGTGCTTCTGTGAGGATCTACAACCTTGGAAACCCTACAGGGCAGTTTGAATCCCAGGTTTGAACAGGTTTGAATCCCAGCCTGAAGAAGTCTCAGTGGCTCCTGATTAAGCGCACTGTTGTTGAGGGAAAGGAACCCACTTGGAATCCACCCAACAGCTCTGCAGGATAAAGAACTGCAGTAAACAAGGGAGACAGAAGAAGAATCAACGCCTTTGAGTTGACTCATAGGGACCCTGTGAATGATGGCTCTAAACCCTCCCCTAGCCTGTGCCATCTTCACCATCTCCAACACGCCTGACTCCATTGTTGTTATCACTGTGTCAATCCACCTTGGCAAGAGTCTTCCTCTCCTGCACTGATCCTCTACTCTTTCCAAGCAGGACATCTCTCTTGAAGGACTGGTCCCTCCAGGCAGCATGCCCAAAGTATGTCAGATGGAGCTTCACAATCCTGGCCTCCAAGGAGCAGCCTAGTTTCACCCTCTCAAGGATAGGCCTATTTGTTCCCTTGACAGTTCATGGTACATTCAATACTCTTCTCCAGAGCCATAGCCAAAGCCATCGATTCTTCTCCTGTTGTTCTTAGTTACTACAGTTCTTAATCCCGGGTGGGGTCTGAGTGGGTTCCTTTCCATTTTTCAGGAGCCACTGAGGTTTGTGTGGCTTGGATTCAAACCCGTTGTTGCAGAACAGCCCTGTAGGGCTTCCAAGGTTGTAGATCTTTACAGAAGCAGACTAGCAGGACTCCTGTTTCCGCCAGGAGCAGCTGGTGTTTTCCAACTGCTGACACTTTGGTTAGCTGAAGTCTTAACCGCTGTGCCACCAGGGCTTTTCTACATTCCACAGAGACTGTCATTGATTCAACTGTGTCCCCAAAATGTGTTAAGCCAACTTTACTGGGCCATGATTCTCAGTGGTCTGGCAGCTGTGTAATTATATATAACAATGCAGTCATGTAATGATGTGATAGGCCACTTAGCAAGAAGAGGCTCGAGGGAGGGAAGCAACAACTATAATCTTGGCCAGCCCTGGAGGGATGGAAGAGGAGTATCCCTGTTGTGTGGTCTGTAACACCTTTTCCTCTTATAAGGACTTAAGGAGAGAAGAGTGAGAAGCAGTTGTTGTTGTTAGGTGCTGAGTATGACTCATAGTGATCCTCTGAATAGAATATCTGAACCCTTTCCTGTCCTGTGCCATCTTCATACTTCCTGACACGTTAAAGCCCATTGCACCAGTCACCGTGCCAATCCACCTGGTCAAGGGTCTTCCTCTCTGCTGACCCTCCACCCTTCCAAGCATCATGTCTTTCTTCAAAGAGTAGGCCCTCCTAGCAACATTCCGTAGAGAGGGAGACCTTCCAGCAGGTAAATTTACACCTCCCCCAACGTGCTCAAGTGTGTTGGAGACTGCGAGGATGACACAGGCTAGGATAGCGTTCACATCTGTTGTTCGTAGGATCACTATGGCTTATACTTGACTTGACGGCATGTAACAACAGTGGGTGGATAGTGCCCCCTCACTGCAGAATTAACTTACAGCTTTACTTGTTGAAAGTGAAGAGAACTTGAAGCACTTACTCATGAAGATCAAAGAATATAACCTTTAGTATAAAGAAAGCAAAGATCCTCACAACTGCATCAATAATGTGCATCATGATAAACCGAGAGAAGATTGAAGTTGGATTTCATGCCACTTAAATCTACAATTCACATCCATGAAGGCATCAGTCAAGAAGCTAAACAGTGTATTGCATTGAGGAAAGTTGTTGCAAAAGATCTCTTTAAAGTGTTACAAGGCAAAGATGCCACTGTGAAGATGAAGTGTGTGTGTGCCTGACCCAGGGTGTCTTCCATCTCCTCATATGCAAGGGAAAGCTGGACAATGAGTAGGAAGACTGGAGGAGAAGTGGATGCGTATGAATTTTGGTGCAGATGAAGGTGGTCATAGACTGCCAGAATAAGGAATAAATGTGTCTTGGAAGACATACAGCAAGTACGGTCCTTAGAAGTAAGAATGGAGAGACTTTATATTATGAATGTTATACATAGTATCTAGAATCCAGTCCCTGGAGAAAGACATCAAGCTTGTTAAGCAGAGAGTTATTAAAAACAGGAAGAAGAGACAGACAGTTGCAGTGGCGGCCACAATAAACTCAAGGCCAACCGTGATTCCAAGGACGGTGCATGACTGTATGTCTTCTGTTATACGTAGTGTTGCTGAGACAGCACCTATTAACAACAAATGGTTAATAATGTTAGCGCTGTCCCCCACATGCTTGTTGTTGTTGTTGTTGACTACCTTCGAGTTAATCATGACTCATAGAGACTCTATGAACAAAAGGACTGAAGCCCCTCTACAACTATCAACATTTATCAAAGTTCATAGAGTTTCTGGAAGCATGTTATTTAGGAAGTGGATGCTACTCCTGCTTCCAAACCTGTTATTGTTGTTATGTGCCATTGAGTTGCCTGTGATGTGTAGCGACCCTATGTGCAGCAGCTCTGAACCCTGCCCTGTCCTGAGCCAGTCTCACTAATTCTGACACACCAACCCTATTTACATTATCTTCTTGGGGGAAACTCAACTAAAATATTCTCCATATTTTCATTAGGATGTGTGCCTTGTCATTATTCTATTAGGATTTCTTCATATGTTTAAACTATACATTATTAGATTTAGATTTTGAAAAAATTTCCTCTTGTCTGTCACTTGTCTCTTCATTTTTTTAGTGCTGTCTTTTGAGGAAAATGTATTTATTTATTATGAATCCAGTTTCTAGTCTAAAAGTATTATATTTTAGGGCATTATTTTTATCATAGGAGTATGCAATGAGGGTTGCAGAGTGGATTATATTTGGGGGTAGGGGGTAGGGTTTGGGGAGGTGTGTGGGGGGATTGTGTACCAATGAGGGAGTTTTTCTTTTGCTTTTCAAGGAGAGGAGCAAATGAGGGGGGGGAGGGTTTGTGCGGGGAGAAGGGTGCAACAATGAATGAATGGAATCCCAAAATCTCTGTAGATGTTCACTGAAATGAAAAATAAACAACATAAATTAAAAAAAAATTCTCCTTTAAGGTTTGTGGTTTTGATGTATAAGTAAGAAATTTTCACCCACATTTCATAGAGGTGGGTTCTCTATTTTCTTCCTGAGATTTTCTCAATTTAACTCTTACATTCAGGGCAATGAGGCTTTTGTCTGCCCCTGGCTTGAAGCAATATGATGTAATCTTTTGAGACTAGTTTCTTTTTATTTAGGACAAAGCCTTTGAGATTTCTTCAAGCTGTTAAATGTGTCAGTAATTGGTTTCTTTTCATTACTAAGCATAGTTTTACTGTATGGATACACCACAGTGGTTTATTCACATGCAGCACAGTCCAGCTGTTTCCATTCTGAGAAATTATGTTTCATCTCACATACTTAGGGCATGTTGTTAGGAGAGGCTGTTCCTTGGAAAGGTGGAGGGTCAGCAAGAGAAGAAGATTCCCCCATGTACTAAGATTCTATGACTGACACTGTGAATTCAATGGCAGAGGAATTTAAATCTCATGTTTTTTCATTGCTTTGTTTGCACAAAGTATCTTTGTGGGTATAATTTTACAGGTGAACCTGTAAAGTAAGTAGGTCAAAGAGAACAATTCAGTGGTAGTTAGTGCATTAACAGTGTATACGAACATCACCTCTTGCCACTCAAAAAGTTGTCAACCCCCAAAATGACCCAATCCTAGTTGTGTAGTTGTTGTTGAGGAACATCAGGTTGAGTGTGAGTCACAGAAACC